GCAAGGAGAAAAGTGCTGTCCACAGCTGCAAGCACTACCAGATCCTGGGAACTTCCAGGATCAGCCCAGAAATAAGGCATTATCTATTATTATTTATAATTTACTATTTATTATATATGATATATTATATATGATATATGATATATGATATATTATATATTATATATTATATATTATATATTATATATTATATATTATATATTATATATTATATATTATATATTATATATTATATACTATATATTATATATTATATAATTATTTATAATTCATTATTTATTATCTATTATTTATTGTTTATTATTTATTATTAATTAATTATTATTTATTATTCATTGTTCATTATTTATTATTTATTTTCTATTATTTATTTTCTATTATTTATTTATTTATTCGTTATTTACAATCTATAATTTATTATCCATTATTAATTGTTTATTATTTATTGTTTATTATATATTACTTATTATTAATTATTTATTATTTATTATTCATTATTAATTATTTATTACTTATTTCCTATTATTTTCTATTATTTATTTATTTATTCGTTATTTACAATGTATAATTTATTATCCATTATTAATTGTTTATTATTTATTGTTTATAATATATTATTTGTATTTATTATTTATTATTTATGATCTATTATCTATTTTCTATTAACTATTATCTATTATCTATTACCTATTAACTATTATCTATTATCTATCATTTATTATTATTAGATTTATTATTATTATTACTATTATTATTACTATTATTAATTATTAATTATAATATAATTATATAATTTGTATTTTTAAAAATAATAATGATAATGATAATGATAACGATAATGATAATGATAATGATAATGATAATAATAATAATAATAATAATAATAATAATAATTGGTTTTATTATTAATATTTATTACTCTTGCATTACATGTGCCAGAAAAGCCCAACCTGCAGCTCCTGTACAGAGCCCACAAGACTTTCTCAGGGTTAAAATATATTCCAGTGAAGGAAAATCCATCTCATGCTCAGGTAAGCTGCCCTCAAGGTCAGTCACAGTGCTAAAGTCTTTTCCCAAACCATTTCCTTGCCATGGATTTCCTTAGTTCCATGCTAGGAGGGATTTCACACTTTGATACTTTGGTGTTTGCTTTCTTTTTTCATTTGTTTGTTGGGTTGTGGTTTTTTTCTAGATTAAAGAGGGATCAGCTATCAGGAATCTTTTCACTATTTAAGCTGAGTTCACCTCCTAACCTCTTTTTTTTATTTTTTCCTTTGCAGAAGGGAAGGGATAAAGTGAATAACTTAAGTCCTAAGCTGCTTAAGAGTTTCTAAGCCCCTTTAGGGTAGGGGATGGTTTCTGAAAACTGAACTCTTTTGCAGGTTTGTTGTTGCTTTTTTTTCATCTAACCTTCAAGCTTTCACATACTCTCTGAAATGCAGCTGACCAAATCAGACACTGTGCTTCACTGACTGCTTCCAGGAAATAGGAAACAGGAATATTTTTCCTGTACAGTCTTGTAGTAAACTAATTTCCCTCCTTCTCCACGGATTTAATTTACTGTATATGTAAAATGAATTAATTTACTGTCAGCTCAGATCCTTTTTATTGTGTTCTCATCTTCAGTCACTTCCTGTAGGTCTCACTCACTTGGGTTTGGATAATGAGTATGAACCTGGGGCCAAGTGTTGATAAATTATCCAGGAGCCACCTCCCCTGAGGGGCCAGCAGGAATTTCAGGAGCATCCTCAAAGAGGAGTTTTCTCCCCTCTCCAGCTGGGTGCTGGAGAGCCCATCCAGGATTTTGGGAAGCAGATTTCTGTCTCACTTGGTGAAACAACCACATTTGTCTTACAGCCCCAGCAGGACCAGGAGGCCAGCATGGAGGGTTTCAGATTGGCATTTGGATGGATTAATTAATCCTCTGAGAGTTTTTTGTTGGTGGGTGAGGGTTTGCTGTAGCAGTGCATGGCACAGAGTGTGAGACAGGACACCAAAAAATGCTGCTGCTGCAGAACTACAATGCTCTGTACAACATATTTGTACATATTTGTACATTGTACAACTGCAGAACATATTTGAGAAGGCATGGATGGACCACTGCTGTGATATGATGATCACTGCTCATGTGGGGGACAAATTGTGCTTATGGCACAAACTCCATGATGGGACAGTCCTGCTGCCACACTGAGCCCACCAAAGTGTGTCAAAAACTGAGGATTTCCTAAAGAGGAAAGAAAGAGAGAAGCAGGAAAACAAAACAAAACGACAAACTAAACAAACACACCAACAGAAGAAAGAAGAGGAAGAAGAAGAAGAAGAAGAAGAAGAGAAAGAAGAAGAAGAAGAAGAAGAAGAGGAAGAAGAAGAAGGAGAAGAAGAAGAGGAAGAAGAAGAGGAAGAAGAGGAAGAAGAAGAAGAAGAAGAAGAAAAAAGAAGAAGAAGAAGAAGAAAAAAGAAGAAAAAATAAGAAAAAAAAAAGAAGAAAAAAGAAGAAGGAAAAGAAGAAGGAAATAAAAAAGTTTAAAAACTCATCAAACTCATCTACCAACAAATTTTTGGGTTGTTTCTTTACTCAACACAAAGCTCTTGAGACAGACACTTCCCTACTTACTTACACATTCAGAGGTTGCCAGGCTGGCCACTGTGCCTTGGCCTTGATCACTGTCAGAACCTCATCGCTCTGTGGAGAGAGACAAAGGACATTTTTACAATGAGAGCAATATATTTGACAGCAGAATAAAAAGCACAAAGCACCAGATCAGCCTGGGACTAGGAGCTTTAAACAGCAGCAGCAGCAGTTTGCAGATGGTGGTGGTTTGGCATCAGGAGCTGAGGGAAAGCTTCCAGCAGGAATTCACCTGCTTGACACCAAGCAAGGACAGAAAAATCGCTCTTAATACATGACAGGTCTACAGATAAAAACTAGAGGCAACCCAGCACACCCTGTGATGTGTTATTTATTATCTTTATGTCTGGAGGGATGTAAAGGCTCTGTGGTGGATGCACTGCGCTGGTTCCACGTTCTCTTTGCTCTCCATTGACGCCTGTGGAAATCACAGGGTGAAATGTAGCAGCCATCTGTGGCAAGCCCACAAAGCAGTGTACAAAGATCATTTCCTAAAGCCTGCTGTAATCCTTGCCTTGGCACTTTTAAACTTGATATTGCTACAATAAACTGGGGACAAAGGCAGGAGAACCCTAACAAGGCTCTGATGCCCACAAGACATGGATCACACTTCTCCAGAAGCGTGTTCCCCATCTCCCTCAGGAATCCACACCAGGAATTCTCCCTGAGGGACACAAAGTTCACAACTCACTGCCGTGATTTCTACTGTCTTTTTAAAAATATTTCCCAATTAGACCAAGAAACCCCCTTGATCTGTTCCCAGTAATTGGCACTTCCAGCAGAGCTGACCTTTCAGCTCAGTGATAACAGTGTCATTTCTTGCTTGGTACCAATAGTTCTGACAGTCCAGAGCATCCCTGCTCCATACACACCCCAGCTCAAAGAAAACACCTTTCACTGCTTGTTTCCACCACCCTCAATATCCTCTCAGCCCCTATTTTTATCAAAGCAAGAGCATTAAGAGCTGATGGGCCCTCTCTGCTAGCCTCAGGAATATAAATGTGACATCACCTCCCCCTTAGCCTGGGTGGATGGAAAAGCCACTTTTTTTGGAAATCACTTTTATTGGAAAATCTGTACTGGAAAATCTCTTGTTTGGAAATCCATATTTGTATACAGATGTCTGGAAAAATCCTATAGTACATGAAGTGTGCTGAGCCAAAACAGCTGAAAATCCAACCCTACAAAGGCCAGTGAGTATAAAAATGTTTTACCAGGCTCCCACACTACTCATAGGGGTAGAAAAAAGAGAATTTTGTGATGGCAGGAGCAGAGCTATGGCAGCAGGCCAGGCACACCCTGGGTGAGCCCAACACTCTCTCCTGGTCCATGCAGGAGGGATTCACCAGGTTCATCTAGGGCTGCCCTCTTTTCACCTCCACACTTGCAAAAGAAGAGAGACATCTTTGCACTCAAAGTGGTTTAAAAAGAAATATTATTAATATTATTAATATTATTAATATTATTAATATTATTGAGAATATTAAGAATATTAAGAATATTAAGAATATTAAGAAACATGATTAAATGAATGAAGTTAAAGGCTTGAAGTTAAAGGACATTGTCTTGTCCCTGACAATGAAATTTTCCTTAATTTTTAATTTTCCTTGTTTCAATATCCTAAAACTTTCCATCTTTATTTACTTGCCTCGAGATGAGATTTGGATTCAGAGTGTGCATTTTACATCCCAACAAAAGTCTGCCATGAGCACAGATGGTCACATTTATTAAATAATACACTGCATATCTAATAGCAGGCATTAATGATGTCACTAATATCAAACCCAGACATGTCTGAAAGCATTTCAACACGTGCTATTCTAATTAAAAATTAACACCAAGAGTGGATGAGCAGTGACTAACAGCTCAGTAGTAAGTGCAGAGGGAAGGGAGTAAGGAGCAGTGCATGGTGCATTCAGACATCCCTGAAATTTTAAGGGAGGTGGAAATTCAGATTCAAGCACTGAATTCATGGAAACCTTCTGAATCAAAATTTTAAAAAAGAATTGAAAAAAAAAAATTCAAATTAAAAAAAAAAAAAATTTAAATTACAGAATGTGGTGTTCTGTTGAGCCTGGAGTGAAAATACACATTTTTCATACGTGGAGCTCCTTGACAATTACACAGGATTAAAAAACAACTTGATTTAAGTCATTACCGATATTCTAATTATTCAGGTGTCTCCGTCCTGCACATTCCCAGTGTTTCTGGGGAGTTCTGGCTCGGGGAGGGCAGCACCACCTGCCCCAGGTGTGGCCACTGTCCTGCACCTCTGCAGGCTCCTGCAGGGAGCTCCTCCAGAAAACAGTGACCCCACATTTCTGAGGATGAACGTGATCAATTTAAACAGCCCGGGGAAGCTGATGTTCCCCAGGAATTCCCAGCCCTGGGAACGATCTGTGGATGGAGAGCAATCTATGGAAAAGGTGCTGGGCTTGGATTTGCTGGCCAATGTCCGCAGCTATAATTATTGGCAGATGGGAGAAGCTGAGAGGATGTGAAATGCCTGAAGAGAAACCCACAAATCAGGAACAAATAACAATTGATGTAACCCAAGTGCCTCAAATAAAGCAACTGCACAGACTTCACAGTAGAGGCAAAAAACACCACTTCTATCTTAACAGAATAAAAACATAATTTTATTAACATTTTCTTAGTGCTTGCTGTCCTACATTTGTACCCATTCTACTCTTCTCTTTGCATCCCCAAAGTTTTGCTTTAATTAAAGTAATTCAAGTAAACAAAGTCTCAAATTCCCACCAAAATTTGGAAAAAAGAACTGGGATTTTTTTCCCACTGTGGCATGTTGCAAGTTGTCATCAATTTTGTATTTATCTTGGAAGAAATGACTCAAAGTAATGAAGCTCTTACATCTTGGCAAAGAAAATGTTTGCAAAATGATGGAGTGTCAAAATGTTACGCTGTCAGAAGTTAAAGGGAAGGGCACCAAGGCTCCTGCTTGGAGCTGGTGAAAATCCCTCAAGTGTGGTTAGACATAATCACAGACAAAACTTGGTTTTTCTCCCAAAGCTGCTGCTGCAATTTCAGTTTTATGGATGATTGTAGGATTCCAGCTTCCATTTGAAGAATGGAAGCTTCTCTACACAACCTTGCTCAAGAAGTCCAGAGGAGCCAAAGTGCTTTCCAGATTGACTTTAATCTGATTTGATTTAAAACACACAGAAAATTGCAAACAACTCTCCTTTTCTCCACAGCTCAACAGCTTTCCCCTGTGAAATCTCTGATCCCCAAAAATCCCTGGTGGCATGATTTTAAAGGGTTGATAATGTCATTCAGACACTGACAGCCTTACTGTCCCTCTGAAGTTGGTAAAAATTAAACCTTTGCTTTACATCCATTTGTTCCCCCAATGTATAAATGAATGCTCATGCAGAATAAAGTAATTAAATGGCAGCACACAGAACCCTGTGGCACAAAACCTCTGCAAAGTTAAAACCTTTCACTGTGCACCTGCAAAAGATTAAAAGCCTTCCCTCGCTTCAAGAACAGAAAGTGGGACATGGCTCAAAAAGGCAGCATTAAAGATAGAACTTGATTTGAAATCTTTCTCAGCCAAGAGGACTTAAAACAACACATTTGAAGGGTCAAATCCATTAAAAGAAAGTAATGAAAGCTTTCAGCAAAAGTTTTAAGTGTGATCTGAATTTTTTATTTTTTATTTATCAAATGGCATTGATAAGTGTGCAGATCACTTAGCACTCTGCAGTAATGATAATATTTGGTTCAGCTAAACAAACTAATGTGTTATCTGACATCAAAATCAGAGCCAGAGCCAATGGAGTGTGGGAATGAAAAACACCTGGGCTGGGCCAGAGCTCAATTTCACTCATTTCATACTGCTGCTGCTTGGCATTCATCCCATTGTTATAGAATAAAAACCATTTAATTCCTTCCACAGCACCCCTCACTCTATCTGAATGCCTTTCCACAGTGGATTCATTTTCACAAGGCTCTCAAAAAAAGTAGAAAAAGCAACATTATCTTCAGTTCCCAGATGATGAACTGGATGTCTTCTGGAAACAAACCTACATATCTGAGCTCTAAGATAGCATCTTCCCCTGCAGGATCATCCTTCCCCTCAAAAATAATTTGTTGTTAAAGGAGAAAGAGATAAAATGAGCATGAAAAAGTGGATTGCACAGTTCTGTGGGGAACCGAGTGCTGTAAAAATTAGAATGATGTAGTGCTTTGGAGGGATTTTTGGGTGCTCTTAAAAATCTGATCAGTCTTCTAGGATTGCTATAAATTGTCCTTATTCCAGCTCCACTGTGTGCTCACACACAGAAATCACAAAGAAAAAAAAAAAATCTTGCCTTTAAAGTATTATCTAATACAAAATATCTGGATAATTAATGCTCAACAAATTACAGACTCCCATTACTCAAAGTATGGCAGGTTTCCTCCTGCTGGTAAAAATCTGTAGGAAACTTTCCTACCTCATTTTTGCAGATGTATTTGAATGAAAAGGGATGCTGGTGTAGGCTCATTTCTGACATTTGTGAAAACTTTGAAAGAAAAGGGAAGTAGGTGTCTTTTGTGTGGTAACAAAATATTCCTGGGATGAAAGCAGTGCTGAGATTCACTTCACAGGCAGAGATGTTTCTAGGATGGTGTGTACAACTACTGGATTTTTTTTTCCAGTTCTTTAAAAATAGAGCATTTTTGAAAAGGTGAAGCTTGTAATCACAAATTGCTTCATTTGAGAGGGAAAAACACCCAGAATCAAAGAGTTATTTTTATCATTTGATGACAACTAAATTCTGTTTAAATCTATGGCTGACTTAGATTCAGGAAGATTATACTTAGAGCCAGGAGCACAGGTTTGGAATTATCATAAGCAACAGCAAAAATGCATTTCATCCAGTGGAATTATACCAGGATTGTGTTTCCCATTTTACTTTGACTTCTCTGTGTTTATCACAGCAATTTTGTGGCAGCAGAGAAAACCACACATATTATAAGATATATAAACATGCCTGAATGGAATTCTTTTTTTTTTTTGATCATAGAACATGAAAATTCAATATTTCCCT